TAAAACCAGTAAAGTCAATGTTTCAAAATGGATATACAGTGAGTTTGTATTGCCTCAATAGCAATCTTATTTGTGCATTATTTGCTGTATGTATAAATCAGTAACTGTCCCAACTCACAAATTAAATTGCTTTACCGTTATCAAACATCTTCTCACAATTCATGACAATTATATTTAGTGTCATCCTGACTAAGATTTACTTACCCAGAAAACTTATCTAGAAAACACTTACCCAGAAAACAGAACCACAAAAATGATCCAAAGTTGCTGCTGCCATGGCAAATGGTCTCTCCTCCAGCTGTTATCAAACTATTCTGTCTAACCCAGGAAGCCAGGGCAAAAGTCCCAAGTGTTCAACAAAGCAGTATTAGGAACCTGATAAAATACTATTAATCTTTAACCCTATAATCCATCTCAGGAACTGTGAAGAAGAGCTGGCTGGCATTTTCCTAAGACTTGAGAGATACAAAATTAATGGATCTGAGTAGAGAGTAACAATGTCCTGGATGACATTCTCAAAATATATGATAAAATTTTAAAAGTCCTTCTTCTCCAGGAATGGGTGGGTGAAATATACATGGAGAGAGTTCTTTTAGCAGATTAGTTCTGCACTGGGAATCCAGTTTGGAGAAGATTATGTCTTCAAGTCAGTTTTGACTCTTGTTGATGGCCTAAAAAAGTTCAAGCAGTTTTTTTGGAAAAAAATTTGGAAATGGTTTGCCATTTTCATTGCCCTAAGGCTGAGAAAAAGTGACTGGCTCACAGTGACCTACCTGAATTTGAGCCTAAGGCAGGACTAGAATCATGGTCTCCCAGTTTCTATCCTGGCATCTTAATTACTACACCGAACTCTTTCCCTACTCACTCTCTTCCCCAATTTATTTCTAGCCAGCAATGGTGACACTAATTTCAAAAAACATTAGAAAACACTGAAAAAACTGAACACAGTGAAAAGGCTTTTTTCATATGCTGTAAATGACTAAACCCAGAGCAAACGATTATTTAATTCTAAGGAAAGTGTTTGGTGCGCACAGGATGGAGGATTTATATCCCTTGGTTAATTAAATATCAACATATTTTTGAAAAATGTCTATTGTAGACTGGCATTCGGTTTGAGGGTGAGACGTAATCAGTAACTAGCTGTCCTGTGGGGTGTTATAATTCCTTTGAGAATTTTCTAAAAATGCAAAGTCATTGCACTGAGATATTCCTTTCCTCGGGTCTTCTATTTGAAGGGAAGGGAAAGAGTTAATTTTATGCAGCAAACAGTCCACCACCTTCTTTTACAGTGCGTGACTTGCACAATATAACATTTGGCTCAAAGTCTCCTGAACTCTTGCAACATTGGTTAAATGAAAACACAATTATTTATTGAACTTTTCTGACTTTGTTTTACTCCATGTATTCTTGCACTACTTTAATACTTCCACATGCAGTTTGTTTGAAGTGTTTTATACATTATGCTATGACATTGGTATTTGGCCATCTGTACAAGCTTACAGTTCGTTTCTAAATCCAACTGATAAAATGATATTAATGGGATGTGCATATGAAGCTAATGGACAAAAATCAATAAAGCTTCAGAATAAAAAAAAAATGTCCAGTCCTATTTAAAATTCAACAGGACTTGAGACCAGGTTATTTGACAGGACAATCTCCTATATTAGTGATACAATCATTGCATCAAACCCTCTTTCCGTTTCCTTACTTCTCTAAATCAGTCAAATCTAGTGGCAAGAAAGTGGTAAGTGCTCAGTGGTAAGTCTTCCCTTATGGAATGTTCTTCCTAGACTTCTTTGCTTGGCATACATTGTGGTCTTTACAGCAGCAAGAGAAGCTGTTTTTGTTTTCTTGAACATTTCATTCCAGTCCACAACCACTTTAACTTACTTTTATTTTCTGAAATATTTCTACATTATGTGTAAACAATATAGGTAGCTCTTGAATTATGCTCAGTCATTCACAGAATGTTCCAAATTATGAGTACTGAACAAAGAGACTTACAACCTTGAAGTTCCAGCTGTTGCAGCTCCCCACGGTCACATGTACAAGATTTGGGTGCTAGGAAACCAGTTTCCACTTATGACCGGTTGCAACATCCCACAGCCACATGCTTGCTATTGCAGACCTTCTCTGTCAATTTCCTACAAGCAAGTCAATGGGGAAGCCAGCAGAGAAGGACCCAAGCCACTTGGGTAATTCTCCCCCTCACCCAGCCTTTCTTCACTCATATGCACAACCTTCTTCCCCCTTTTCTCACTCTCGTTCAATGCCCTTGTTCCCCAGCTTCCTGCACTCATGCACACATAGGAACTCACTAATGCCCTCCTTCCTCAGCCTCCCTGCACTCATTCAGGCACGCACTCACCAGCACCCTTCTTTCCTGGCTTCCTTGTGTATGTACACATACGCACACACGCACACATACAAATTACTCTCCTTCCCTTGGCCTCTCTGCACTTGCACTCATGCACTTCCACAGCCTCCCTGAACTCATACTGCACTGAACTCACACCAGCCCTCCCACAACTTGCCCACAGCCTCCCCAGGCCTCCCCCACACCAGAGGCACCTTTGCTCCTTCTCTTGGACTCCCTCCACTTTCCACTTAATGGTCTGCATGTTTTGGGGTTATATGACAACTAGGCCTGCCTGGGTGATGTCATCACACTTTATGAATGCCTCACTCTGTGACAGCAATCCCAATCCCAATTACCACCCTAACACAGGGACTACCTACTTGTACAGCTATTGGAAGGTTTATCCTGGTAACTAACAATTCAAGGAAAAATAGAAGGAAACTTTGCAAAAAAAAAAAAGTTTGCACTCTTCCCAGAGTCATGTTTGAATAGCATTACTAACTCCTATTAATTTCTTCATCATTTGTGACAGATGAAATCAATGTGCCTAAGTTTGGATATGGCAAAGCTTGCACTGCTAACTCTTGCCTTACTGATCCTTTGTTATACTTCCCAAAGGATGGTACACAGTTAAAACCCCTACCAACTTTTTCTTTCTTGTCTTATGTGAAAGGATCCAATTTGTGGAAACATCTAAGCCCTTTAAATTGTCACAACCTGGAATCAATTACAAGGTACTGCACCATTTTCCCATGCTGTTCTTGCTTTTTTAGCCACCCATTATCTAAATGAAAAGAATTACCTCTCACTAAATTCCATTTCATCCTGCTAATGCTAAATTCCATTTTAGTCCTGCATTCCACAGAAACAGAGGCCTGAATTTTCATCCAAGTGAACTAAGAAGGGAAGCATAATATACTCACCTCTCTTGCCTGCCTGGAATAAATACCAAAGTCCCTACCCAAGTTGGACAAAACACATGGCATGAAGAAGGGCTACAGGGATGAAAATCAGCTTCATCATTTATTTGAAAAGTAAAAGTCTAAACGAGTTTCACCCAGTGATGAATGCCTCTTTAGCTAGTATCACGTCTCGCTAGAGTTTGCTCCTCATAGACAAATGATGTCACACTATTTAGTGAAAAGACTGCTTGAACGAAGACTAGGGAGTGGGAAGAGGAGAAAAACACACATCGGCATCTTCTTTAGACTGCTCCAAATACTACTGAAATGTCTACACTTAAGGAACAGGGAAGTCAGGGGATAGTAGGTCTTCCTGTCCCGTATCCTCTTCTTTTTCTACAGGACGTTCTTTGCAATGGCATTCAGGGTCCTCACTTTAGTCACATCTGCCACCATGCTAGAATGCTCAGGTGTAGAGAGGGAGGTTCCCATCTTAACACTGGAGTTTCTAAAAGAAAAGGAACAAGTCTTTAAATATTATCTAAAAAGTAATCCTCGGGATACAATCAATTAACAGCTGTTTGAAGTTATAACATCCCCTCCAAAGCTACATATGACCCCCTTTTGCCCTTACAACTGACCATAGGTTATGTATTATCAGGGGTGAAATGCTCCCGGTTCGGACCGGCTAGGGCGAGTCGGTAGCGATGACAACGGGCAGTTCAGAGAACCGGTAGCAAAAATCCCTTCCCCCACAGCCTCCAGCTTGCTTACCTTCGCTCTTCGCTGGTTGCAACGCCTGCCTTGCTTCGCTTTCTGTAATCCCTGCAATCCATTGCATCAGCAAGCAACTGAATCTCCCTGCCTGCAATCAAGCTCATCGGTGAGCAGCTCTATCTAGCTGCCTGCTTGCCTGTAAGTTTTTTTCCCCTTTGGGAGCTTTAAAAAAAATAGCTAATTGGGGGTTTTTTTAGTTGTTCTTTTTTTAGACCTAGCCATTTAAAGTTTAGGAAGTTTTAAATTTAGCTGCTTTTATATAAATATAAAAATAAAAATAAAATAAAATATTTGTGCAGCTTTCTGTGATATTGTGTGTTTCTGTAGTGTTTCACTCTAACTACACACACCCACAAAATCTCACAAAGATTGTATGTGGAATTTTGTCTGTATAAAGTGTGAACGTTGGTTTTTTGGGCTTTTTGTGGCTGTGTAAGGTTCCTGCTTGTTGCAGGGGCCATTTTGGGTGTAACACAGCTGCTTTTACATTGTGGGTGAGCCGTGCCTAAGTTTGGATATGGCAAAGCTTGCACTGCTAACTCTTGCCTTACTGATCCTTTGTTATACTTCCCAAAGGATGGTACACAGTTAAAACCCCTACCAACTTTTTCTTTCTTGTTTTATGTGAAAGGATCCAATTTGTGGAAACATCTAAGCCCTTTAAATTGTCACAACCTGGAATCAGTTACAAGGTATTGCACCATTTTCCCATGCTGTTCTTGCTTTTTTAGCCACCCATTATCTAAATGAAAAGAATTACCTCTCACTAAATTCCATTTCATCCTGCTAATGCTAAATTCCATTTTAGTCCTGCATTCCACAGAAACAGAGGCCTGAATTTTCATCCAAGTGAACTAAGAAGGGAAGCATAATATACTCACCTCTCTTGCCTGCCTGGAATAAATACCAAAGTCCCTACCCAAGTTGGACAAAACACATGGCATGAAGAAGGGCTACAGGGATGAAAATCAGCTTCATCATTTATTTGAAAAGTAAAAGTCTAAACGAGTTTCACCCAGTGATGAATGCCTCTTTAGCTAGTATCACGTCTCGCTAGAGTTTGCTCCTCACAGACAAATGATGTCACACTATTTAGTGAAAAGACTGCTTGAACGAAGACTAGGGAGTGGGAAGAGGAGAAAAACACACATCGGCATCTTCTTTAGACTGATCCAAATACTACTGAAATGTCTACACTTAAGGAACAGGGAAGTCAGGGGATAGTAGGTCTTCCTGTCCCGTATCCTCTTCTTTTTCTACAGGACGTTCTTTGCAATGGCATTCAGGGTCCTCACTTTAGTCACATCTGCCACCATGCTAGAATGCTCAGGTGTAGAGAGGGAGGTTCCCATCTTAACACTGGAGTTTCTAAAAGAAAAGGAACAAGTCTTTAAATATTATCTAAAAAGTAATCCTCGGGATACAATCAATTAACAGCTGTTTGAAGTTATAACATCCCCTCCAAAGCTACATATGACCCCCTTTTGCCCTTACAACTGACCATAGGTTATGTATTATCAGGGGTGAAATGCTCCCGGTTCGGACCGGCTAGGGCGAGTCGGTAGCGATGACAACGGGCAGTTCAGAGAACCGGTAGCAAAAATCCCTTCCCCCACAGCCTCCAGCTTGCTTACCTTCGCTCTTCGCTGGTTGCAACGCCTGCCTTGCTTCGCTTTCTGTAATCCCTGCAATCCATTGCATCAGCAAGCAACTGAATCTCCCTGCCTGCAATCAAGCTCATCGGTGAGCAGCTCTATCTAGCTGCCTGCTTGCCTGTAAGTTTTTTTCCCCTTTGGGAGCTTTAAAAAAAATAGCTAATTGGGGGTTTTTTTAGTTGTTCTTTTTTTAGACCTAGCCATTTAAAGTTTAGGAAGTTTTAAATTTAGCTGCTTTTATATAAATATAAAATAAAAATAAAAAAAAATAAAATATTTGTGCAGCTTTCTGTGATATTGTGTGTTTCTGTAGTGTTTCACTCTAACTACACACACCCACAAAATCTCACAAAGATTGTATGTGGAATTTTGTCTGTATAAAGTGTGAACGTTGGTTTTTGGGCTTTTTGTGGCTGTGTAAGGTTCCTGCTTGTTGCAGGGGCCATTTTGGGTGTAACACAGCTGCTTTTACATTGTGGGTGAGCCAGTTGTGTTGTGTTGTGTTGTGTTGTGTTGTGTGTGTATAAAGTGTGAACGTTGGTTTTTTGGGCTTTTTGTGGCTGTGTGAGCTTCCTGCTTGTTGCACGGGCCATTTTGGGTGTAACACAGCTGCTTTTACATTGTGGGTGAGCCAGTTGTGTTGTGTTGTGTGTGTGTAAAGTGTGAAAGTTGGTTTTTTTGGCTTTTTGTCGCTGTGTGAGGTTCCTGCTAGTTGCAGGGACCATTTTGGGTCTAGCACAGCTGCTTTTACATTGTGGGTGAGCCAGTTGTGTTGTGTGTTGTGTTGTGTGTGTGTAAAGTGTGAATGTTGGTTTTTTGGGCTTTTTGTGGCTGTGTGAGGTTCCTGCTAGTTGCAGGGGCCATTTTGGGTCTAGCACAGCTGCTTTTACATTGTGGGTGAGCCAGTTGTGTTGTGTTGTGTTGTGTTGTGTGTAAAGTGTGAACGTTGGTTTTTTGGGCTTTTTGTGGCTGTGTGAGGTTTCTGCTTGTTGCAGGGGCCATTTTGGGTGTAGCACAGCTGATTTTACATTGTGGGTGAGCCTGTTGTGTTGTGTGTGTGTGTAAAGTGTGAAAGTTGGTTGAGTTGTGTTTTGTAGGTTAAAAAAGGGCAAAGAAGTGACATCGACTTGGCCCCACCCACCTGACCACCAAGCCACGCCCACCCAGTCACCTGACCACCAAGCCACACCCACTAATTAAGCCACACCCACAGAACCGGTAGCGAAAATGTTTAGATTTCACTCCTGTGTATTATCTGTAATTCAGTACCAATTTAATATAAGCATCCCCCCCACTGGGACCCTGCAGCATCTGGACCTGTTCTCCACTTGGGGGCAGAACAAAATGGCAGCTGCAGGACAAACCACTCTGGCTACTGTAACAATCCCTGCGATGCCCTGTGCTCCACTTAACGACCTGCATGTTCATTTAACACCTGCACTGGGGGGAACAGGGTTGAGGTTTAATTAAGTGAGATTCTTCACTTAACAGCAATCACAATATAGGCCATAATGGGCAGATCTTCATTAGGGTCGTATCTCAAGGACCACCTGAACCCAGAAAAAAAATCAGGAAAAGAACAACTTCAAACCTATTCTTATTTGGTCAATGCACGGCATTTATCAGAACACCCACTGTTGTCACTTTACTGAAATACCAAAATGCCAATGGCTGCTTCAGTAGCCTGACAACTTCCTTATTACAGCTAAGAAGTTAGGAACTAGATATGAATCTTATTGCAATGCAGCCAGTGCTTTTATTCAGTTTACAAACTGTAAAGTTACATTAAGTAATACAAACAAGATTAAGGCAAGGAAGAACTTGTCCTATTACCTGAACTTCATGCCTGAGTTTTTGGCTGAGCGAGCCGAGCAGTGAAACTCAGAAGCACCAGAACCTTCTAAAATTCTTTGTAGGTTTCTCTCTGTTATGCCTCCCCCTGTCGGAGATAATCCACCTCTGAGTCACAAATGAGAAGTTAAGCGTAAGTGTTCACAAAACAAAGCCAATTTTCTCTAGATATTAGAGGGAATCTCTGCTCTGAATCTGGGATTATTTCTCAAAAACACTTTAGCTTTTAATGTCAACTGTTAGCGAACTTGCATCTCTTCAGCAAGTAAATCTGCTAGATAGTATTCCTCTTCAAGGACCAATCGCTGTTGTTTTTCCTTGATGGTATAGATCAGGTGTCAGCAACCTGCGGCTCCAGAGCCGTATGCGGCTCTTTGGGCCCTCTGCTGTGGCTCCCTGTCGGGTGATCCCACCACTGGCTGGCTCCCCCCCTTGCCCTCCCCTCCCAGTCACTCTTCACCTGGCCTGAAAAGGTAAGGGCGATGGCAGGTGATGGAGAAGCGGCCAGGGCAGAGACAGAGATACAGAGAGAGGGGAGAGAGAGAGACATAGAGAAATACAGAGAGAGAGGGGGAGAGAGAGATGTCAAAAGGGGTTTGTGTTCCCGGTGTTTTTTAACAACTGGTTCTCTGCCCTAATGACCAGCTGGGTAGGTGTGGCTGGGGGAGGGTCATGTGACTGGTGGAAGTAAGTGACATCAAGTTGACCACGCCCACCCAGGTTTTGTGGCTCCTGGTGTTTTCTTTTCTGTGGGAAATAGGTCCAAATGGCTCTTTGAGTGTTTAAGGTTGCAGACCCCTAGTATCGATAGAGTAGAATAGTAATACTAATGCTAGCAAAGTTTAGAGAGGGGATAGAAATGAAGTCCAGTAAACTCTCATCCAAAAACTAACATAGTCCTTATCAATACATTCTTGAATTTTACCCTATATCAGCTAATGGCACTCATAACAAACTTACCTGGTACAATAATAATCCTGCCCTTTGCCTATAAAGAAAAAAAAAGGATTAGTAACCTTACTTGTAACAAAAAATATAACTCACATAGAATCTTCAGATATCAGACTGACAGCTAGCTGACATTTTCTCTATTCTGAATTGTCAGGGAAAAAAGGATAAATTATCAACAGAATTACAAAATGGGAGAAATGGAAGCTCACCTGTTCTATCAGTCGCTTAATCAAGGGCAGCCCCTCCAGGGCAGAGCTGTCACAACCACTAGTTAGCACCCGTTCAAAACCTATGGATATCAGTGTTTCCATGGCTGTTACAGGATCACACACCATGTCAAAAGCTGCAAGGGAATTAAAACTCTCCTGGTTAAGACTAAATACAATTGATAAAATGTTATTTTAGGTAAGTTTTTAATTTCAAATAGTGTCAATCTTAGTTCTAGAATAAGAAATACAAGATTAGCAAATAACAGTTAACACATATACTGGGAAAGGGGAAAACATAAGAGTAAAATATAATATTTTATAAAATTCAAAAGACAGAGATGGGCCTGCTCTCCTGAATTTTATTACTACGTTAGCTGTTTGTCGTGGATTATCAAATGGATAACATTCCTGAGCAGCATGACATCAATATAAAACAATGACATTTAAGAGATGATACACAACTCTGCCCATAATTGCAAAAATAAATATATAACTAATGTACAGAGTTTTGTGATGGTTTCCAATTATTTCCTAGAAAGTCTGGTTTTATATAGTCAATTATTTAAGCATTGAAATAATTAATTTTAAATTTTATAACAAACGTAACCTTTCTGGTTTTTTATTGATATTTTATTTTTTATTTTTATTTTAAATACTCATTTATTTTATTCCTTAAATGTTTTGATTTTTTTAACGTTCAAAAGAAAAAAAGCTGCATTGGAACAAATCAGTCTGTAGGAAAAATATCTACTAATAAGAAAAGTCTAACCATTCATGCCAGGGGTGGGTTCTACTTACCTTTACTACCGGTTTGCAATGGGGCCGCACATGTGTGCTTGCTTTGCTTGCGCGCGCGCTCTTCTGCACATGCTCAGAAGCATTTAGATGACGTCGGGATTGGTGGGCAGAGCCTCCCACCGGGGGCAACCCACCACTGATTCATGCAATATAAATATTTTTGTAATAAATAAAAAGCAGGATATTAATCATGAGTCTGGATCTCCAAGTAAGGCTGAATTCCCTAGGCGGAAGCAGTGACACCTCAGACCACATTCTCACAAAGCCAACTGATATGTCACAGTGTCTGGGCCTGCATTTTTCCAATTCCCTTTTTAAGCTATAAAACTCACCTCTGTGGAAGGTGACTGGCAAAGGGCGAGCAGCAGCTGCAAAGGAAAGACCTCTAATCAGTAACATTCTCATGCTGAGTTGAAAACATATATTTTTCTTACAAAAGACTTTTCATAAAAAGGCAGCTTGTATAATAGTTCAGCCATCTTGCTACCTTGAGACTATTTCTACAATCTATATCAGCTTCTAATCTTGTCTACCAAGATATCTTTTCAAAGTTTTTTCTACCTTTTGTATATGAAATCCCTTACAACAATTATGTTCGTGTACCTACTGAAAGGCAATCTTAGAATCAAAGAAGCATCTATGAGTGAGAGGGGCAATCTCTAAATTTGATATATAAGTTAAATAAATAAATATTTCTATTCTTCTCCATAGACTACATGTCAATAAATCATTCACAGAATTAAATGAATATTTGTTTTAATGCTTTAAGTGTCTTTGGAACCAAATACCTGAAGAACTATCTCTTACGGTAGATACACTAATTTTTTTAACACAAAGAAAAGGCCTTTTCTTTATATCAATCCAATTTTGTGACATTCTCCCTAAAGAATTGCTAGATTATTTCACTATATTTTACTATATGACTATATTTTCATTTCAAATATTTTACTAGTTTATCAAATATAAAATAACAGAAGTACCAAGAAAAATGAAAATAAGGGGAAAGGGGGAAGAGAGAAAAGTGTAGGATAAGGGGGAAAAGAAAAAAAAACCCATTGACTTCTGATTCTTTTTGGTGCAGTAGAAAAACCTCAACTTTTTACTTTTATAAAATAATATATACTTGCTGTATGACTATATCTTTAGTGTCGGATCAAAATAATTTTATTTGTCCATACATTGTAACTAACTGCCTTGCCTTTGCTACATTGTTCATACGCTTTCAGTTTTACAGCTAAAATTATATTTACTTTTATTTGCACTATATGGTGTACTATATGGAATACCATATGGAGTATATCTGTCACTTTGAACTTTCTTTCTCTATAAATTTGTAGAACCCATTCTGATGCAGAACTGTCTAGAAATTATGAACATAAAATTAAATGAAAAGGCTTCATTAGAGATGCTGAAAGCTGCTAGCTGAAAAGTCTTTAAGGGTTATGAGTGATTGGAAAATATATACTATTTCTTTTTCTCTGAAAACATGAGCTCTTGGATTAAAAAAAACAAAAAACACAACTATATGATTCATCTTATATGAGAAAGAACTAAAATATTGGCCAATTCTAATAATAACGCACAATACCCCTAGATGAACGGGAAGCAGTTATTGTAACTTTCCTATAATCATACTTCAATGATACATCCATCTCAATTCAGAAGAATGAGCCTGCTTCTCCCAAGCAATAAGGTACAGGGGTCGTAACACCTACCTATAAGACACTATTGGGGGGTTTTCTATCTGAGATTTGGATTTACTAAAGTTATGTTCACAGAAATCAAATAAATCTTAAGGAAAGCAAGACTCTAACCAAGCAGTTCTGTGCAGAGTTCTGTGTCTACATAGCCATCCTCAGTTAAAGCTCCAAATACCAGCCCATCTGCTCCATACTGCTTGGCAAATTGGATATCAGCTTTCATCACCTCTGTTTCCCGATCAGAGTAGAGGAAATCCCCACCACGGGGGCGGATCATTACAAATATGGGGATTCTTGTGCATTGCTTCACTACTTGCAAAATACCTATAAGCAATAAAAGAGATAAGACACATCAGTTAAAAGCTGAGATAGCACATGAATATGACATGACAGTAAACTGCACTATAACAAAAGATAATGATACCAACCCAAAAAAACTAGTTCCTCAATTCTGCTTCCTGTAGCAATAATCCAAAAGAAAAAAAAAGTTCTTACCTTTTCCTGAAGAGGTTGGGAAGTAAAAGGGATGTTGAAGAAGTGCATATGAACAAAAATGAAAAGGTCTTAACCTGCTTCTAAAAAGGAAAACATGGCTAATGCCATAACATTCTGGTTTCAATTAGAAAAAGAATTATCTTCCTTTTTATCTGAGTGTTGGAATGCTGTAGATCACGGGTGTCAAACTCGCAGCGTCACTTTGCTGTCATGTGATGTTTTGCGACGTTTTTCCCATTTGCAGAGCTGGGGTGCACATGGCCTGCGTATGACACATCCGGCCCATGGGCAGCCAGTTTGACACCCCTACTGTAGACCAAGAACTAGCTTACAACATTTTATAGCACTATTCAGTTCTCATCACTGTAAAGGCTGAGAGGCTGGATTCAGCTTGTCAACTCACCAATACTTGGTGTAGTTCCACCCTCCATCAGATTGGCACATAATTCAAGGCGACCAGCACCTGCAAAGATACAGATACCGGTATACTATTTGAAAGCAGATGTTAGAAACAATAATTTTTTTGCTGTAACAGAAATGTTTCTGGGCATTCCTGAAAGTTCATTTACAAGGAAAGAGCTTATTTAATGTCCTCATTTGGACTTCTAAGTAGTAATAAATATGAAAAAGTGAATATGCATTCCACATGATTTGCTGAGGGACTGATTAAAGTAAAACAACACAAACTCTCTAAAACAGCTGTATATGAATTATCTATTCATATAAATTTGCACCTTGCCTTTGTCAGAGCACACAAAAGAATTGGATATTAAAAGGAATACATAGGTTTATACTTTGTAACATTACACATCTTGCTTTTCCCTCCAAAATAATTTCTAAAATGGCTTCATAACGCTTTTTGCAATAGCCTATGTCCCCCAGAAGGTCTCCCAGTATCTTCAACTTCTATTTTATGGAATTACCTCCTCTTTCAGCGTTAATGGCAGATTCCACTGAATCAACACATACTTCCATGAGAAAGCCATTGGCCATTCCTTGAAGAGAAACACAAAGCAGAAGTTATGGGGCAATTGGACTCTGCCCTTGAGAAAAGGATAAGACTATTTATGAAAAAGGTGAAAATATATCTCAAACTGTAGCTCTCACTCAGTTTCTTCTGCATGATTAACCCAAATATATCTGAACTCAAAACTCAGAAGGTTCCTAGATTTCCATTTACTAGTTAAATTCTGTCTATGCTATTATAAAAACCACTCTCTGAAGAACATAGCTAGGAATTATTAGTGAAAAGCTAAAACTTTAACAGAAGACTCGATATTACCACCTCCATATTACTTTTGAAAGTAATGAATGAATATAAACTTCTGAAGACAATATATTAGCACATTTATGCATTACATATAATAATTAAGGTAATTAAATAAAGGTAATACCAAAGATTTTCCTAAAGCACAAAAAAAGAAAATTAAGATGAGAGCATAAAGGGAGAGGCAACAGCAATAATAATTTTGTTTATTAAAGATCCAATTTTTTCTCCATGTAAAAAGATTCTACTATAGTACAATGAGCAAAAACTGACTTTGCTTTTGGGTATTTTTGGTATTTTGGCTGTTAAATAGGAATTACAAAGTTGAGGAAAGATCTGGCATCCACAAAAGTGATGAATATAGCATCCTAGGCGAATGCAGAAAAAATTTAGGCACATAAAGACTGACCTGTGATTGCTAATAAGTAACACAATTTTTCTATGATCAACTTTTTGACTATGAGACAAAATACTCACATGAGTTTGGTAACTCTAACTACTCTAACTTCTTGTGTAGATTATTACCACATATGTTTAGTCCAAAGCAAATCTTTCAACCTATAAAGTATTCAATAACTTAGTGAAACATACTTATGCTTATTTTACATTCGTTCTTATACTTAGAATACTAGAATCCCATGTTCATCTGAAATAGTGCCAGTTAATTGCACTGTTGGCATTGTATTAATGGTTTATATTATTTTACGTAAGTGTTATGCATGCTTTACATTATAAAAAAACAAAAATAACTTAGGAGCTATATGGGCAAACACTTAGCCTGAACTAAATATAACTTTATAAAGCTTATAAGGTATATAAATATAACCTTATTGTAACTGTATCATTTTAACAGAAGGGAAAACTGGAGACCAATTTATTTATTCATCAGAAAAATAGTGAAAATCTTCACTAGCTGTATGTTTTCTCACTGAAAGTAGCAGATTTGGGAGGATGGTTTTTAGTAGATCTTCCATGATGAGGGAAGAAACGGCTAACTCCATCACTTTACAGCACATGTGCTGATGCCAATTTGTGTGTGTCAATACACACCCACTTCCAAGATCTAAAAAGTTTGCCAGGAAGAGTCACCCTAATAATCTCTTCTCTGTTTTGCTCTTCCACATCTGAGGATCGTTTCAAACGGATTAATATTCCCAGTGCAATCCTACACATGTAAATCCCAAGCCTAGCAGAACTTGCTCAGAGTTGCGTGCGTACCTGGGATCAAAAACCCACTGAATTCAGTGTGTGAACTTAGGTCTTAAGGCGAGAGGTCTTCAAACTTGGCAGCTTTAAGACTTGTGGACTTCAACTCCCAGAATTCTCCAGCCAGCTATGCTGGCTGGAGAATTCTGGGAGTTGAAGTCCACAAGTCTTAAAGCTGCCAAGTTTGAAGACCTCTCGCCTTAAGCAGACACACAAAGGAGTATTCTAATAAAAACCCATCAGCCCCCTTATCTGCGGCGCCTTTCCCGTTTAGTTTTCTGGAGCGGATGCAGCTAAGAGCAGCGAGCCAAACCCAGGCAGAAGTGGGGCCCCAGCGAAACCTCCCCACTGCATGATTTGCTTCTTTCGAAGCTATTCTGAACCTATTAAAGGTGGGGTGGGTGCGCGCGGACTTAAAGGTATTGCGTTCAAACTCCCAAGCCTCATGTTCCCTTCCGGCTCCCGTTCTTAATTTCGCCTCCACCCACTCACCCTCGCACCCTCCCACCGGGCCTCGTTTCCGGTCCCATTTCCTCATTTTACGTCAGTCACGGGGGGGGTGGGGGAGCTCCGCCGGAGGTGGCTTTAAGGTTGACGGGACTGCTGGGAAAGGGAGAAGGCCACGCCCCCAGCTCTCACCTTTCTTGACCTTGAACGCGGGAAGCGCCGTGCCAACCATCACGTGATCCCATGGAACTTGCCGCACTTCGTTTCCGGGGGAAGTCGTCTTACTTCCGGTTAGAGGAAAGCTGTTTCCGCGCGGTAACTTGGAGCGATGCTCTTACGGACGGTACTACTAGGAGGTCCTCGATTTTTGCTGGCATCCCGTCAAGGAAATTCTTCTGGCCAGGTACCTGCACAATAAAGTATGATTTCCTGATCTCTAAAGTTAGGGCTATCACATCTGGGCTGCAAACATTATTTTACAAAAATTAAATAATAAAGCGAATTTTATTATTTTATTCTGTCCTGCAATTTCATGGCCATACGGAGTCTTACACCCACGTACACACAAAACGTATAACATACGAAGTGACTTGGGATCACGTTTCTATGATAATCAGGGTGACCTACCGTGTAATATATCATCCATGTAAGTATATCAAGCAAGTATTGCTTGCTGTCACAGTTCGTGTACTTCTGTTTCCCAGAAAAATAGTCTCAATTTACTCTTAACACATCCTTTAAAATGGAACCTGCAGTTTCCACATTGCTGGGTTTTTAATGTAAAAAAAGAGAAAAGGGTTTATTTCAGCAAACCAAAACATGGAAATTCCCTTGTTTATTTAAAGCATTTATGTCATTGAAACATGCCATAAATATGCATATATAAATATGCATATATATATATATATATATATATATATATATATATATATATATATATATATTATGTGCGTGTGTGTGTGTGTATATATATATATATGCATATAAATATGCATATATAAATATGCATAATTATGCCATAAAGCATTGAAACCCGCTTATTAGATAGCAAAATTAACATAAAATCTGGTCTTAATTTTTGGCCCCAAAAGAGTGCTACATGGATCTGAAATAGAATAGGAATGTGGTGGGGGGTGTTTACCAGTTTTTAACATATTCTAATTCCTGGCTGAGATAAGAATAGGATGCTTAGAAAACTTGGTTAACATTAACATCTCCAAAATAAGATGGTTTTGCTGATCTGCCTTACAGTATAATGTAAAGGCTTGACCATCCAGTTAAGGGGCAGATAATGTAAAATGTTTGACTCATAACCATTCATTTAGCAACTGTTAAAAATTATATCAGCACTACAAAGAGAGAGTTATGGTTGATCCTCACACTTATTACTGTTGCAGCATCCCCACAGTCGCATGATAAAAATCTGTGTGCTTTGCCACCAACATGTATTTATGTTGCAACATCCTGATCATGATCACTATTTGCAACCTTCCCAGCTGGCTTCCAACAGTCAATGGGGGAAGCCAAATTCATTTAATGGCCATATGATTCACTTAACAACTGGATTCATTTAACAATCATGGCAAAAAGGTTGTAAAATTGGGTGCAACTCACTTAATATCCATCTTGCTTAGAAACAGAAATTCTGATCCCAGTTGTGGTTGTAAGTTGAGGACTACCTGTACTATATATGTAACTCACGATTGAATTGTTGGGTTTTGTTGTTCGCTGAATTTGCTTTTCTTCTTGCAGACATTTAATTACAAGGCAACCTTATCAGTGCCTCGTAACTAAGTATCTGCAAGAAGCAAGCTCAAAGGACAAGAATCCAGAATAAGCTGATAGAGATGGTAGTTCCTTACTATCGGCTTCTATTGGCTTCTTTTCTCTTTGAGGTACTTATGAATGTGGTCATCTCCAGAGGGAAAAATTGATGATACACATGCCCTGGCTTGCGTACATGATCAAATATTAGGATACAATGATATACGTTTTACAGTTCATGATGACATTATTGTACATGTGTTGCTATTTGCCATCATTGTTTGCTGTGGATGTTACTGTTTCTGAGAACAGTAACATCCACAGCAAACTCTCTTCTACAATAAAAATATAAAAAGTTGTACTAAGCTTTGTGGTCAAATCAGTTGACATTCTAATGTATCATTTTCTATTAGAACTCTTGTGAATGTGTTTTTTTTTTTTGTGCTTTTTAAAAGCACAATCGCTTCTCCTTTAAGTACATCTTAAGTCAGTATTTCTCAACCTTGGCAACGAAGATGTGTGGACTTCCACTTCCAGAATTCTCCAGCCAGCATTCCCAGATGGGGAATTCTGTGAGTTGAAGTCCACACATCATCACGCTGCCAAGGTTGAGAAACACTGACTTAAGTGATATATTGAAAGCCACTTTGGTATAGTGGTTAGGCTAGAAACTGGGAGACTGTGAGTTCCACTCCCACCATGGGCACAAAGTCATCTGGGTAACCTTGGGCAGGTCATTAATCTCTCAGCCCTAGGAAGGAAAAATGTTGCTAAGAAAACTGCAGGGAATCTATTCAGCCCATTTTCAAGAATCAGACATAACTGAACAGAAGAAAGAAAATGATATACCAAAAACATTTTTTTATTAAAAAGTGCACCTTTCCAATGGTTGTGGTTCCTTTTTTATTAACAGTTATCTCCTCAGTCCAGTCCAGTAGTAAAAATATTTAATACTGTACCGTACCAAGTATTTATATACTTACTGGAATAGTTAATTAGTATCTTATCACCTTCTTTGTCTTTAGCAATGTCTCAGGTGGTGGCAGCTCCTGCAGAAACGGACACAACACAGTGCAGTTTCAGAAGCAGCTTCACATTCCAGAGTGGCAGCACCACCTGTCCCCAATGTTGTGAAAGACCGAATAGTAGGACATTGGCTCCTAATCTGCAGCGGTACTGTGGCTGGAGCTGTGGTACTTGGTGGCATAACCAGGTGAGAAAAGTTACTTTTTCATCCTCAGCTCCCCCATCTTTTTCTCACATTATATGCATCATATTCAATGGAACTTTTTATATCCAAAAATATATTTTTGCAACTTCCTCATAGCTTTGCTGTGTATGCTAAGTGTTAGTGAATGTGTAAAAAAAATATGTTCCCTTTGAATGCTTGTGTCATTCTTTTTATGTCTTTGACTATTGAGGTAGGAGTTCTGTGTCTTAGTGTTTGAGCTGAACATGTCATTTAAAAGTGCAAACTAAATATATTACATTTTTATATGACTCTATATCAATCCTCCAGAGTGTTTAAGATAATCTTATTTCCTTTTCCCTTGGAAAATCTATGAGATATGTACATTATTTTTACTATATATGCATTTTTTAAAGTATTTTTTAATCACTAATAGGTTTGTGTGTAAATTCCCCTCACCTGCTTTGCCTCTGCATCGATTTCTAAATTGTCTTGTTATGTTCTGACTCTGCTTTTCTAGGTAGGCACTTCTATCATATTTTAATATGAAAGGACCTTCTCCCCTGATAAATAGTTTCTTTGTTCTCTTTCTAAGGTTGACAGAATCTGGGCTTTCAATGGTTGACTGGCACTTAGTGCGGGAGATGAAGCCTCCTCAAACGCAGGAGGACTGGGAGGCAGAATTCCTAAAGTATCAGCAATTTCCAGAGTTTAAAATGTACGTATGATTCATGTTTACATTCCTTCAAACTAAAGTTCAGTTAGGAGGAATTCTATTATTTGCATGGCTTTCTCTACAACAGACAAGTGGGGTGGGAAAGGGGGACTTTGGCCACTTTTTTTGAGGGAATTTGAGTTGAAAATTAGAGAGAAATTATTAAACTTTGTTGCTGTTTTTTTCCTCTATTTTTGAAAAAAAAAATCCCCAATGCAACAGCCTGAACCATGACATGACACTGACAGAGTTCAAATTCATCTGGTACATGGAGTACTCACATCGTATGTGGGGGCGACTGGTAGGGTTGGCTTACATCCTTCCAGCAGCCTACTTCTGGAGAAAGGGCTACTTGAGCCAATCCTTGAAAGGTCATGTCCTTGCCCTGTGTGGGCTTGTCTGCTTTCAGGTACGAATGGCTATTGGAATTTAGGAATAAATGGTTGTGGGCATTCGTAAAATAACTGAGACATGCAATGAAAAATAGTAATATCTCAACATTCAAACGGCTGGTGCTGAGCTATATGTGAGTCAAAGCCTGTAATTTCTGATACCTTGCAGAAGCTTGAAGTAATTGTGCTAGAGATGATTAGGCAATGAAGGAAGGAAAGAAAGAATGAGGAAAGAAAATGTGTGGATCAGGCTGTGAACATAATCCTGTTGTTTATTTAAATTCAGTTCAAGGCTAACTCAGCAACAACCCACCAAACATAAGGGACTCCACAATCAATCTACCCCAAGGCTTGGGAGAGCAGCCAAGTTTTTGATAGTTTCTTGAAGATCCTTAAGTTAAAAACCACATGAGTCTTTGGTGGGAGGTCATTCCAGAGGGCAGGCCACAGAGAAAGTACATTTCCTGGATTACACATGATGACATTGTTTAATCAATGTGACCTAGAGCAGCGGTCACCAATCGTTCCATCTTGGCAGCCCGGCCCGGTGTGAGAGAGAGTGTGTGTGTGTGTGTGTGAATGGCAGGCGCGTGCACAGCTCCATTGGTGCAAGTGATGTACCGTCCACTTGCCCAAGCAGTGGTCCCTTGCACTCACATGTGAAGCTCCGCTCACGCGAGCGGAGAGTGCTTGCACACAAAGCTCTATTTGCGTGAATCTCTGTTTTGAAATTGCATGTAATATTATTTGATATTAGCAAGAAAAGAAATAAACTTTGTTTCAGTATAATTATTTTGTTATTTTTGCAGGGTCTTTTGGGCTGGTATATGGTCAAAAGTGGATTAGAGGAAAAGCCAAATTCCTACGATATCCCTCGGGTCAGTCAATATCGTTTAACTGCACATCTGGGATCTGCTCTTGTTCTTTACTGCTACAGTTTATGGACTGGGCTATCCTTGTTGCTACCACAACATAAGGTATGTAAAATATAGGATTTGTATCTTGAATATTGGTTTGCTGCCATAGTCCTAGACAACATTTGCATTTGGAATAAGGAAGAGGCATGGCAGATACATCCTATACAGGCTTAGACAGGAGGCAGAGATGGACAATGTAATCAGAAAATATGTTACTTTTGTAAGATCTTTTATGTAGAATATATGAAAGGTTTATAGCATTTACTGCTGTACTTGTGTTTTGGCAGCTACCTAAAATCCACCAACTATTACGCCTGAGAAAATTTGCTTATGGGACATCAGGACTCATCTTTCTCACTGCCCTCTCAGGTAAATGTCTCTGTTATTTGTGCCTTAAATTTGGAGGTGGGGAATAGGGGGAGATAAGAAAAATGCATCTATTGTAAGACCTTGCTTCATCAGGTCCATGATAAAGTTTTCATTTTTCTGTGATGCAAAAGTTCTTAAATCCCTTCTCCTGAAGGACAGTATACAGAGCTAGGAAATGTTATATGGTGTAGGGATAAAAATTAACATCTTGAAAACTTTTAAATCTTATTGAAAAACTATCTTCAAATGTGTCAGCCTCTGTTCTCTGAAACTGTAGGAGCATTTGTGGCTGGACTGGATGCTGGTCTTGTATATAATTCCTTTCCAAAGATGGGAGAACGCTGGATACCTGATGATCTCCTTGCTTTTTCCCCAATGGCAAAGAATATATTTGAGAATCCCACAACAGTGCAGTTTGATCACAGAATCCTGGTACGCAACATTGCCTTTATGCTATGAAGTAATAGGGTTTTTTTAATCTTAGTTAAAAAAAAAATAAACACAAAAAAAACTAAGGTTATGGGAATGAATTCTACCAGCTTTGATGGAGTGTTAGCTTTTACATATCTAAGATACTAATTTCAATTCCTGCCATCTATAATTTTAAAAATTGCTCCAGGTATGAAGGTCAGAATGATCATTTTTGTTAGAACAGTAAAAACGTTGACTCAGTTCTGAAGCTTGCATGATCCATTAAAACAAGGGTATTGCAAATGTACTACAATAATCTTTGGACACCCACCCATTAAGAGGATTTGAATATAAAAATTATGAGGATAAGGCCACAATAGTAGAGCCTAGAGACTATAATCTGAATCTCAAGAATTGCTGTTGACCTAGTATAAGGTATAGGAGAAGGCAATGCTTGAAAATTGCTATGTATGTATCAGTATACCCAATGTTTGTCCTACCCATTTGCCTCCTGATGAAAGCAAGATGGCTTGCTTTGTAAAATGGAACTTTTATGGGGCTGTTGGAAGATGTTTTAATAGGTTTTTTCTTTCGTTCTTTAGGGTATTTCCTCAGTTGCAGCCATCACAATTCTCTATCTACTTTCCAGGAAGATCTCTCTCCCACGTAGAACTAGAATGGCATTTGCTTCCTTATTGACTGTAGCATATCTTCAGGTATTGATTTCTCATTAATGTACACATTTTAATGTACATATTTAAATTCCAGCTAGCAGAGAAATAATATTCAGAGAAATATGTCCTTCTAGATGTTTATGTACTTATTTAAACTAATTTATCTTGGATGATTGATTCAGGGATTTTAAACATAGTTAATAGTAACCATGACACCGTACAGACCAGTTTTTTTCATATAGTTTTGAGCTAGAAACAGACAGACAGATAGACTTGTCATATCATAATGGAAGAAATTGCCAGAAAAGGTGAAACTGTGTAAGCATTATTTCATGAAGCAAAGGGTGGATTATTATTACAGTTGTTCCTTTTTCTTGTTCTTGTAAGAGTATAAAGAATGTAAGAGAGTGAGTAACCAAAGCTACTTACTTGTGGTACTTACTTATATAGCTGCCTATATATAGCTGCCTATATATCAGACTTCGGGCGGCTCCCAACCAACAGTTAAAACAACATCAATAATAAAACAGCATAATAAATACATATATCCATTAAAAACCACAAACATTAAAATCCTGGCAGAAAGTTAAGCTGTCATATGCAATCCATCACTAAATCCTCTCATTATAAAGTTGTTTTGTATTATTGTTTATACAGTATACAAAGGTAAGATCAACAGATAGAAAGGTCTTCTGAACATTTGTAAAACATGCTATATATACACTCAGTTATACCTGATTCAGCACTGATATTTTTACTCCATTGCAGGTCACCCTGGGTATCAGCACATTACTTCTGTATGTCCCAACTCCTTTAGCAGCTACTCATCAATCAGGTTCTTTGATGTTGCTCAGTATGGCTGTGTGGCTAATTCATGAACTCAGAGGGATTCCTAAATAGGTCAAGCCTTGAATATTCAGAATTAACACCTATACAATATGAACCATGTGATCCTCTGCCTGAAGAATGAATTGAAGAAGAGGACTGTATAGATTGCTACCTTGGCTTCATTGATGTGGAGAACACTGCTTCAAAACAAGAATACAAACCATTATCTGTTTTGCTGGCCTTTTTCACTTTATAAAATTATTGAGATTATATCTGGAAAAAATGAAAGATTGTTTTGGCTATTCCTCATGTCCTGCTATACACTTCATTGAAGATAAAACCACAAATAATTTCAGTGGTGTCTATCCTTAAATTCTGTATATGAAAGATGGCATGATGTAGAATAGGATTATGGAATGAGTGGCCTTGGAAATTTGGAAGTATTTGTATTATGTGAAGGATGGGAAAATGCAGTTTATATTCTAAATTATATGCAACTATGTGCTTTCATATTTCTTTTAGTGGAATCTTGTTCATTTTTAAATATTAACATATAGTGTATTATGAGTTCTAAATAAACATGATAAACGTTTTTTTATCCACTGTTTTTTCATGTCCTTATGCAACCTATTATTAATATGTTAAAAGAGAAAGCCATATTATATTTTATGATTTGAAATGGTACAAGATTAATAAACTTCTTAAAAAATAGTAAACAGTAAAACTTGGAATTACGTAGGTAGAACAATGACTTCCACAGTCAGAAAACAAAAGCAAAGTGATATATTCACCATCCAATTAATTTGGTTTGTCAAGAAGTCATCTCCACAATTGTTTGCTTTAATTCTTAAACATACTGGGTGCATGTTTCTTGTTTGACTTCCCTCTCTCAGGGCTCACAATAATATGCATTCAGAAAACATTTCTAATTCATACAGTGAGCAGAAGCTTAGCCAGATCATCTACAAACATTAACAGCTTAGCTTTTGTTAGTTATCATATAACTTGATTGTTTTTATGTTAAAATGAAGTGTGAACTCAGCCATTGTGACCTGTAAATCCTGATTTATGTCTTAGTATAATATGTGAACTTGGTCATTATATCGCTATTCAATCAATTGCTTGATATGATGTGATTATAATTAATTTGTCTGCCTTTTAAATGCTGTCTTATGCAAAACCTACAGTGGGTACTAGAAAAATACTTATATCCTGACTTTATTGTTTTCATAAATAATTTAAGGCAGTGAACATATCTAATAGTCCTTCCTCCTCCTATTTTCCCACAAGAACAACCCTTTGAGGGAGTTGGGCTGAGAGAGAACGATTGACCCAAAGTCATCCATCCAGTTTTCATGTATTAAGCAGAACTCGCAGTCCCCTGGTTTCCTGGCCAAAATGGCTCTCAAAAAAATCCTCATATATTTTCTTCCAGTCTGTTCCCTGGATACACCAAGTTCAAAAAGATACAGCCCACATTCAAACCCCTGTAATTATTAGGTAATTGTTAAATATCCCAGCTACAACAGGAACAGTAATCAGGAACAGACTGATTACTGCAATCAGTCTTTAATGCACAGATGTTGAATATTTTATTATCTGCCCAGTTTTTTGCTTGCTCTGATCTATCATATGTTGAAGCCAAACTTTTTTTATTGTTGGAGAGAAGAGGGGGAAAAAGTGCTTTAACAAAAAAGTGAAAAAAATACATAGTATATGTCATTATAACATGACTAAAATTGTATATATTCTTGTCCAATGATAATATTCATATATTATCTATAGACAATCCACTTGTAAGTGGAAAGTGCAATCAGGCCTTCAATCCATTGAGTAAATGGAGCTATACATTTATTTTTTCAATGCTGCAGTATTAGTCTTGTAGTTATAAGGGCACATTTATGTTGTCCAGTTATCACACTCCATGTACTAGGTATATAGTTCAAAAGAATATTATCCTCTGAAATTTTAGCTTTCGTTGCCCGGTCATATTTATATAATTGACTTTCTCTGAAAACTTTAACTTAGAAGTTAAAGATAACTTCTAATAGCAACTCCAAAAGTACGGTACTTGTAACCAATCCTTATTAAATTTTATCTGGGATTACTAAACTATATACATTTTGTTGTATAAGATCAAAGGAAATTAATTTTACTTAAACTTATGAATGGATCTTGTAATTATCAGGGCAGGACTTCGACTCATTATTTCAGAAATCCCCAAATAACACCAATTCCTTTCAGAATAGGTTCCTTCCTTAACCTTGCTGATATTTTACCACCAGCCAGCATTCACTCAAATACCGTAGAAACTAGATTAGAATTCCCCTTTTGAGGAAGATGGGCGGAGGGAGGTGGGCGCTTTTAGAAATGTGAAAAATAAAATATTTCGGCTCATCGAGAAAGCTACTGAATGGGCACCCTGGGTCTTTCTATGCTGCAAGTCTCGAGGCTCGTTCGAGGCGATTTGGCAGAGGCCAAATGGACAGTATTGTATAATGTGCGCGGATCCCAAATTCCAAAAGAAGGATCAATGAAAGACCAGGAGCCAGCCAATCACCGCGACGCCTGCGGAGTTGGATCCGGAAGCAAGCCGGAGAGGTTGTCCAAGGGACCAATCAGTACGGGAATCGGAGAGAGGGGGCGGAGCCTTGGTTTTGCAGAAGTGGACAGCTCCTCTCGTCGATCCGAACCGGCCTCGCTATGACTGCGCACGGCTTAGCGTTGCCGATGGTCCTCTTCTCCATCTTCTGGGGGCTCGTGGGATTTGCGGGTCCGTGGCTGGTGCCGAAGGGGCCCAATCGCGGGTGAGGCTTCTTTCCGCCCTATCTCTTCCTCGCCTTCCCATTCACACCACCTCAATTCATTCTAAGCTATTGACGCCCCAGGATGGAGCGTCAATAGCTTAGGAAAATGTAGGAATAGGAAAATGTTCAAGACCTTGAAGCCGTTGATCTAGCTCGGTGTTCCTCAACCTTTGAGGATCTGTACATTTCAACTTCCAAAATTCTCCAGCCAGCAAGTCCACACATTCGCAAGCTGCCAAGGTTGAGAAATACTGATCTAGCTGCTCACCCCACCCCACCCCTTGTGTGCCTTCTAGCCTGCTTCCCCCAGTGCCCTCTTCTGTTGAGACCCCTGAATCCCCAGCCAAGGGTAGGGCAAGAGACATAAGTGATGCGTCCATTTTCAGAAACTGTGCTATCACAGATCAATGCTCTGTGTAGAATAGAGTTTATCATTTCACCAAAGGGAAGTGGGGGCAAGTGTTGATTTATGCTCCTTGATTTTGCTATGGATAATCAGCTACCAAAAGGCTTAGCTAGATCATCTGGTAGGATTCTGTTACATGATGTACATTCAAAAGAATAATAGCTTACAGTACAATTACTTTATGCCTAGGATGTAATTCTTGATTCTGTTATCCTGAAATTTCCTTATATGTTTCTCTAACTTTTTTCTTTTTTCTTTAGAGTGGTTATTACCATGCTGGTGACAACTGCTGTTTGTTGCTATCTTTTGTAAGTAAATCATGGGAATGAGATAGCTGGGGCTGTTTCTAAAAAAAAAAAAAAAAAAAGACATATGCTTTTCTATCTGAGGATGATATAGTAATATAATCCCAATTTCTCCTTTCTGGAAAAAAAAAGTAATCTGAGATAAAAGAAGCTATACTTCATTCTTAGCATACTGGTAGGATGATGTTATCTGCTGTGCCATTGGAACAGTGCGAACTTTTATTTATTTTATTATATGCACATTTTGTTATTCACAGCATCTTTCAACATAATTTCACAAAGCATCTTTTCTCATATTTCTAATAAGCATAATTCAGCTCTATGGTACTTTGTAACATAATTGCTTTCACCCTCTTCCAAATAGCTTCCATATCTTCTTTCCTTATATTCTCTTTCCATTAATTCCATTGGGATATTATTCTATTTTCTAACACTTTTTTATGTAAAACATTTGAACTGTACCTTCATTTTATAAGTTCCTTTTGCTTCACTAATTTCTTTCACTTGTCTGTTATTTTCTTGATTTCCTCTTGACACTATTTACTAATCTGAATTACATTCAGATTCTCATCTCACCCTTGTATTCTTTACTAATTCTTATCTTTCATCATAAACAATTATACATATCATGCTTTTAAATTAATTTCTTTGCTCTTAGTTGTGATTCTCTCATACAGCAATATTATCTTTTTTTCTTACAGTTGGCTTTTAGCAATTCTTTCTCAAGCCAATCCTCTCTTTGGCCCTCAGCTGAAGAATGATACCATCTGGTATGTGCTCTTTCAGTGGGAATGACAGACCAATTTAATAGGTAGGTATCCATCTATTCATACTCATAAAAGCATAGAAATGACCAGCTTCTTGTGGGTTGTAACCGACTAACAACTGGAAAGAAAAAAGGATTGACTGCATTATTATTTGCAAGAAATCCCGAGTTTGACTCTTTACTTGTCCTGGACCTGCACTGGTATGACCAAAATTTATGAATCCAATAGGCAGTTATTCTTTTTGTCTGTGTAAGGCAGAGAAGGGAAGCAGTTTATAGTTCTAAGACAGGTTCTCTCTCTTTTGTGAAAGTTCACCAATGATAATCTTTCTCTTTCAGGCTTCACCCATGCCCTTTCCAGTTGAAAGTGTGATGAACCTTTTACAACCCATTTCCACTGTAGTGACCATCCCCTGCCTTCCAATTTTAACTGATACTTTGGCATATATCATGTTAAATGTTTTTATTAAGAACCCTACCTTCGTAATTGCAGTAAAGTAAGTAGTACAGTAAGTGGTTATACCCTTTAGATTAAATCACTGTTGATAAGAGCTTTGCAATATCCTTCTGAATAAGAGAAATAACTTTTCTCCATTTCAAATGACATGGTAAATTTGTAGGTTTCTCCACATCTTGATCTTTGCATACAAAGGTTCTTCTGTCAGAGTATATTTGCTTAGACATTTCTAATTGTCCATGTTAACTACCAGTTGTAAATATAAATATGGTATAAAGTTGTATTGTGAAAATTAAAGTACTGTTTGTGATGTACTGTTGGTGGGGTCCTATTGGGTGAATTTCTCTACAATGAATCAGCAGATTTTACTTTTATCATTTTAAAGTAGTTTTACCAAAATCAAATTTTGGGTGGAGATTTTGTTGCCAAGCATGATTTCAGTCTAGCTACTCATGACTGAGAGCCAGTTTAGTCTGGTTAAGGCACTAAGCAAGAAGCCAGGACACTATGAATTTAACATTGCCTTACACATGAAAGCTAACTGGGTGACTTTGGGTGACTCACTCGCTCTCCCTTGAACTCATTTTAGTTCAATTGTGGGGAAAATTGTTATTGTGAGGAAAATAGGAGAAAGGAGTATTATGTCTTCATCATCTTAAGTTATTTATAATAATAAAGGCAGGATATAAACTAAATAAATAAGATTGAAGCAGGGATGGGTTCTACTTACCTTTACTACAGGTTTGCAACAGGACTATGCACGCTTCTATGCAGAAGCTTCTGCGCATGCGCAGATCACCCATGATGACGTCAGGGTGGAGCCTCCCTCCGGTTTTACTACCGGTTCTAAAGAACCGGACAGAACCGGGAGCAACCCAGCACTGGATTGAAGCCAATAAATGACTCTCCCTTTCAAAAGTAGAAATGGGAAAATGCAAGCCATGCAGTTTATTCTGTACAAGCATTCAAACTTTTAAAATATACTGCTCAAAAAAATAAAGGGATCGCAAGCAGAAGACATCTGAGATCTGAATGAATGAAATAGCCTTATTAAATACTTTGTTCTTTACATACAGTAGTTTATACACTGCTCAAACAACTAAAGGGAACACAAAACTACTGTATGTAATGAACAAAGTATTTAATAAGGCTATTTCATTCATTCAGATCTCGGATGTCTTCTGCCTGTGTTCCCTTTATTTTTTTGAGCAGTGTATATATATTTTTTCCTTTAGATCTTTAACCAAGTAGAAAGGCACATGAGGAATAATGGCTTGTGTAACCCCTTGGGCTATAGAAAAGTAACATCAAAGATGGTTTCAAGAAACTCTGATTACGTAGTTCAGTGTAATTTATTGCTACACTTCACTGGATTTCAAGTATTCAAACAAATACATTACGAAATGTAGCCCACCGTTGATTTAGACAGTCACTGTTGAAACAAGTTCAGTTATCCAGAATGGTTTGTATTTCAAGATAGTTTTCTGCTATACAGGTAGTCCTCGAGGTAAGACCCTAATGGAACCTGCCCATTAGGGTTGTAAGTCAAAAAATTCTTCAAATGAATTAGACTTAATTTTACAAATTTTTAAAATCAAATTTGTTAATTGAATCAAATGGGTTGTTAAATGAACAAAATCTGACAATTTCCCCAGTTAATTAATCGCTGCCATCGTTAACTGAACTGAGAGGCTTTCTCTGTTGCTGCCAGCCGCCCATCAGCTGTTTCCGGTGCAGCCTTCAGCTCAGGAACTAAATTGCCTCCAAGCAGGCTCGCAGAGCTCTCCGCTTTCAGTTGCTTTTTAAAGACAGCTCAAGCATCTTCAGGCAGCGGGGTGGGGTGGGGTATTACAGAACTCTCAGCTTAAGTTGCTTTAAAATAAAAAAATCACTTGCCCCTGCTAAACTCAACCCTATCCAGACAGGCAAGGACTTTTTTAAAAAATGCTAGTCAATTCAAGCCTCTCTAGGCAGCCAGCCAAATTGGGGTGGGGGGGAATTTCTGATAAATGCCTATTCAGTCTCTTCTGAAAAGTCTCCAGTGATGGGGCACTCACAAAATCTGGAGGCAATTTAAATTTAAAACCTCTTTTTAAAAAAATGCTGCCTCTGATCAGCACAAGCCTCTCCAGGTAACATCAAAAAAATAAAACAAACTTGGCACTAGTTGCAAAATCACTGGATCTTGTTTGGCCATATGACCGGAGGGGAAAAAAAACCTGCCAGCTTCAGGAAATTTCATGTTGTAACCCAGAACGGCAAAAGAAAGTCACAGTTTAAAATGGCCACCACTGCAGTAGTGACTGAATCCAAGTCACATGGCTTCTTTTTGATCGCAGTTTTGAATTTCTAATGTAAGTACTTTACCTGAATAAATTTCTTCTGATGAAAATTCACTAAATGCATGGTCGTACCTGGGGGATTACCTGTACTAGAAATAGATGAAATGCTCAAGGAAGGAGCATCCCCAATGAGCCATCCTTCATCATGTATGTAATAGAGAATCTGACAGAATCCCCATGCTTTCTTTGTGCAAAATTCAATTCCTCGAAAACCACAAGTGGAAAAAGAAGGCAGAATGTAGCAGCCAATTGTAGCTTCTTTTTCTTCTGGTTTTAAAGGAGTGTTTTTGTCCGATGGATCCTACATTTTTTGTCCAATGGATCCTACATGAGTCCTCTCTCAGCCACTGGTACAACAAGACGCCTCTATTCAAATCAGAGGGCAAGCACCAGTATGAGCTCTTCACTTTCCTTTGCAGAAGATCCCTCAGAAAAGCTGCTTGGTCCTGCAAATATCCTGTGGCAAATTCTCCCACCCACCTTTTCCTGAGCAGATAGTTTTCTTTGGTTATTTGCATTGATACTTTTTCAATTCCAACAGGGATGGAAGTGAACCTTTGGTCCTTGCCCTGTAACACCTGCAACATGATTGTCCTATCCCAGTTAGGAACTTCAGATACAATCTGAAGTCCCCTGGCAGCCATGGCCCTTGGGGTAGAATAATATTGAGCAGCCACTCTGAGGCTAACAAGGAGTGTTACAGTATTTTGGACTGGGGGGAAAAAGGGAATCACAGCTTTTGGCCCATTAAAAAACAGGAAACACTGGACAGTCACCGCAACAGTCCTAACAGCATTCTTTTGTCAGGAGCCTTCTTTCTGAGCTGGCAGTGGTACAACTTCTTCTAGCCACAGCAGATCAAGGGGTGCTGACTGCAATGGCTGATGGTGGATACGGCGTAGACGGAGGAGGTAGAGCCCAATTGCAAACGTCACCACAAGAATACACCCAAAAAACAGATAATGATTGTAGACAAAGGAAAGATGGAACCAAGAGCTATGTGACTGATGGAAGCTCTCCCGTTGGATGTCCCTGAAACAGAACAGAAATTGGGTACTGTTATACTTCTTGTATATCACATTCTCCCTAGTGCTTAGAGTGTTATATGTAAACCCTGCCGCCCACCTCCAATTTTATCATTTCAATAGCCTTGAGAGAGGTTAGGAAGCAACTGGCCCAAAGTCTTCTCATATGGTTTATAACTAAATAGGGATTTACAACTGATCTTAATAGTTTCTTTAATCATACATTATCCTGTACCTGCTAATGTGTGATAATGTTTAATGGAAATTTTGACACTATTTACTTATAGTGTCTTTTATTTTACGAGAGGCGCAAGGACTGTGACATAGAGCTCCAACTCATCTTTCTTGTGATAAGGCTACCTTTCTGGATACTTCCATATATTGTATCACCTGCCTTCCCAGAGGCGAGAACTCTTTAAGGACCAATTCTGTGGAAGAAGATTACACTCCTACCTAACCCCCACATCAGTTCATATACAGTATTCTAGTTTGACCTGAAAGTCAAGTGACAGGATTTTAGCTACCAAAAATTGAAGGTAAATAAACCTTCAAATGCATGAAGAAAATTTAAGTCCCAGATACCTAAAGATTTGGCTTGTGTTAGTTCAAATCTCACAAACAATTTATGAAAGGAAGGAAAATATCCCCTAAAACTCTTCTTCCAAAAGGCTGATGTTGGTGTTCCCAAGATGACTTGACTCCTAGAGAAAAACTCACAAAACTCAGAAAATAACATACTATAATACCTGAGAGGTAAAAAGCGGGTTTTATAAAGAATGGCTCCCAATGTCCATTGCACTTCTCGGTCATATAACAACTGCACTGTACGCAAGCTAGAGTAATCTTTGGGGAAATGGAATCCTTCATGTAGAACTTGGTGCATCCAAGCTGACTTGAAGCATTGATACCTGCAAACAGAACATATCAGTTTCATTACAAAGATGCAGATCTGGGACTCCTCTTAGTAATTTCTAAGGCTCTTGTCCCAACACTGCAAACATAGGACTATAGATTTATAGTCTACCCCCAGTTCTTCTCCTGCAAGAGGTAAGAATGGCTCCTTACTTAACACGGTGGAGGTCTGCATGTGGTGAGTAAAGCTTGTCTTGGAATCTCTGTAGCAATACTGACCAGCTCAGGCTACAATAATCCTGGAGGGTAGTAAAGCAAAGGGAGATTAGTGTAAAAAATAAGAGACACACAGAAAATTATCAAGGCAAAAGTCGTACTCACTTGAGCAGCACGTATGAATGTACTGCTTAGATAAGATCCTCCTAGACGCAGCACATCATCAGTGCAGTAGTAGAATTCTGAGAACCCGTAGAATTCACTGTTCATAAAATCAATAGATGCCTGATAGGAATTGCTCAAAGAACTTCCACTGCTATTGTTTCCAGCCAATAGGGGGCGCAGTTGTTCTGCACAGCTCCTCCAATCACCTTGGCCCCTGACATGCATTGCCTGCCCACCTTTATCCACAACATCCTCTAGTCCCATTGGCAGGCACGGGTCTAAGACTGGCACTTCAGGATTCAAACCTATTTGTACACTGCGCAATCTATAACAAATGAATGAATAAATAAATATATCTGTAAAAATTAAGACAGCATTCCAAATTCATGGCACCAACCAGGTCAAAACACCAATTTTTCCCTTGCCCTCATTCAGGTACCCAGTTTACTTCCCAGATTTTCCCTAAAACAAATAAACACTCACGCACAAACACACACATCTTAATAACAGATACCTGAAACTTGAGACTACAATCAACAACGGCATATAAACTGACCTCCAGAGGCATAATCACCTGTGGCAGCAATAATACTATCTTCACAGCTTCCGTGCTATTCAGCACAACAGGACTGTTTTGGATTTTCATTAGTTTCATTGGTTTTTATACTTTTATACTCCCACTGGGAGTCACAATTTTAAGTTTAGTAGTACAGAAGCACATTGAATCAGTCAATCATTATGACTTGGCTAAGACAGAAACAGTGAAGACCTGATCCTTAATTGCAGATTGAAGAGCAATATGGACTGTTTTTGGCATATTGCAAGTACATAACACATTACAGTACATAAACCGTATATTGTGATTTTTGTATTAAAGACTTTCCTACAAACTTCCCTAGAAGATTGGATGGATTGCAGGGCGCTTTTTAAAATGTAGCAAGATTTAGTCATGAAATCTTATAGACACATAATGTCTAAGAATGCCGAAAGAGCATTCTCAATTTATTTTTTCTACATCAAATACTCTGAATTCTTTTGCATCATTCCTGCAGTCTGATTCCGACTTTAATTGGAATAATGTAGCAGGAAAAGGGGGAATTGTTCAACAGGAAAACATAGGGCAGTAATATTTTTAAAAATCTTTAACTTTACAGACTTTACAGAGAAAGACAGAATAAGTCTTCTGATTAAGTATTGATTACATATCCCCCATCCCAAACCACCTTTTTCTGTGTATATAATTATAATTGGATTCTGTGCAGTTTGCACAGAATCTCTTCATTGACATCTTGTAGTTCCTCAACCCTATTTTGGGCCTTCCTTGGTATATGGGGAACAGGAAGTTCAATTGCTAATCCTAGGAAACCTTATGATAAATAATATCATAAGGTTTCCTAATAATTGTCCATAATAATAATTCCATAATAATTGTCTTGGAAATTCATTTCAACAGCACAAGGATACCTGTTGTGAGTGATGGTCTGATTCAGCACCAGTTCTTCATATCGTTGCCGAGCAAAGTTGCCTCCAAAGCCCAAGAAAGTATTGACATAGACTCGATACACATGTTTTGTGTGTTGCACATCACATCCCAAGTTGAAGTCTGCAAGCAAACTTTTGGCAGCTTCTTCCTAGAAGGAAAAGAAAAGTGGTAAAAAGCTAAACCTAGTTGAGCGCCCCCCCCCCCCATTTCAAACCCTCCCTAGTCAAGAGATGTACCTGCTGTGGGGAAGAAAAGGGGATTGAGTTTGGCACCTCATAGGCTATTTGCAGGGATGCACCTCCCATGTCGAGGATCCCAACTGTTCTTTTTCGGACCATAGGCTCTTCTTGACCTGACAGGGTCACAGAAATCAGTGCATCTTCCTCTGTAGCCCAGGTAGAAAGAGAAGAGAGGGAGAATAAATTATTAATTGTAGAAAAAAAGAAAACAGGGAAGAGAAAGGGGAAAGGAGTTTCTGCCTTTCACTTTATTTTTGTTTCTGTTCTATTGAGGAGACAAAAGGAATAAATGAATAGGACAGCCAATTCTTTACTCCTGCTAGGAATGAAGAAATGCATAGAATTCCCTCCTTCATGTGTCAATGAGAAAACAGCCATCCACTCATTGGGCCCCATATTTCAAGAGACCTTTCTCTAAATAACACCAAGAGCCTTGGTGGCGCAGCAGACTAAAGCACTGTTAAGTAACACCAGCTGCCAGCAATTACTGCAAGTTCAAATCTCACCAGGCTCAAGGTTGACTCAGCCTTCCATCCTTTTGAGGTAGTAAAATGAGGACCCGGTTTGTGGGGGCAATAAGCTAAATTTGTATAAAAAGAACACCGCTTGGGGAGGGGGGGGGCGAAAGCCCTACTAAGCAGGTATATACAAAAGTATGAAGGCTATTGCTTAACGCATTGTAAGCCGCCCTGAGTCTCCGGAAAAGGGCAGCATATAAATCAAACCAATAAATAAACAATAAATAAATAAATCTCACCTTCCGCATGATCAAATCTACCTAGGACGAAGTTGATGCCTATCCAAGCATAGACACCTGGAAGAGAAAGAACACAAAATGCAACATCAGTCCCACCAAAGAAGCAGAGCAGCTTTGGTGCTTAAACACCATTTCTGCACGGGTTAAAAAAAGGAAGCCTCTTATAGGGCAGGTACATCCAACAACAGGTGGAGCAGCATGCTGACCTCCACTATCCATAAACCCCTAAAACAAGGCAAGTCACAGAACAGCTCACATTGGGCCAGAAAACAATTCACCAAGACCAAATTCACCCACCAATTCCAGCCGAATCTGGTTTCACTACATACATACACTTTCAGTCTGTCTTTGATATTGCATCACTAAAACATGGAGAGATTAAACTCGGATCCGTACCTTCTTGTTTCCCTGAAATCACTTCTGCCTGAGATTCTGAGAAGAGGAAGTCATATTCCAAGGGTATGTCCTTCACCAAGTCCCCCAGGATGGCCTCCTGCTGCCTGCAAAGATCCATAAACAAATGAGGAATATTTCCTCCTACCCTATTTACCCATCCTGCTCTGTTTACCTTTCCAGAGAGCATAGCAGTCTCCCCCATCAATTTGAAAACCTGTCTCTTTACTCCTGCAAGAATCCAATCTTTTTTCTATTGGAACAGTTTTCAGTTCTAAGTTTGCAAACCTTTGAGCTTTACTATAGAGCTACAAAGAAGGTCAGGGTAGCAATCAGTGATATATTTCATTTACCTTTGCTACCGGTTTGCTTGCGCGCACACCACTTCTACATATATGCAGAAGCTTCTGCACATACGCAGAGCATATTTGATGACCTTCAGGCGGGTGGGCAGAGCCTCCCGCCGCTACTACCGGTTTGCCCAAACTGGGGCAAATCGGTAGCAACCCACCACTGGTAGTGATGGAAATGGAGTTCCACTAACTATATCTAAATGAAGAAAACAGAGTTGCTTTACAGTGAGCAAAATTGGGAAATTGGAAAAAAAGGAATAGCTAAAATAAGAGCCTTGGTGGTGCAGCAGACTAAAGTGCTGTTAAGTAGCACTTAGCTGCCAGCTGCCTGCAATTACTGCGAGTTTAAATCTCACCAGGCTCAAGGTTGACTCAGCCTTCCATCCTTCCGAGGTAGGTAAAATGAGGACCTGGATTGTGGGGGCAATAAGCTGACTTTGTATAAAAAAGAACACCTCTTAAGGGGGGCCGAAAGCCCTACTAAGCAGGTATATACAAAAGTATGAAGGCTATTGCTTAACACATTGTAAGCCGCCCTGAGTCTCCAGAGAAGGGCGGCATATAAATCGAACCAATAAATAAATAAATAAATAAAACTCTACAGAAAATTTGCCATACAAGAGTTCTGCACTTTGAGAAATCTTCCCTATTCACTCCCTGTCTAACAGCCCAGTACTTCCTGCTTTTAAGTCCCCAAAAGGCCAGGATCAAGTCTAAGAAAGTTGTTGATCACTTACTTGTCAGGCAACAGCCTCATGCCTGCTGTACACATAATGTAGAGTGGCGTCTCTTTGTGCTTGACTTTGGGTACATAGGCAGCAGCAAAGGTGAGCAGTGGCTTCATATATTCATTAGCCTTCTCTGGAGTTTTTGCCAGTGTAGAGATCCCTATTCAAGAAAAGAACTGTCTCTTTAGTTTCCTTTACCTAGATCAAATAACTAAGACATACCAGATGGCTTTATAACACAAGTTTAGATAACAGTATTTTTTAATACCACACTTAAAGTATGAACAAATCTTAAAAAATATTTTTCGCGCCCTAATAATGGAAATATATATATTTTATATATCCAAACCCTTTTAAAATGTATAAATTTGCAGGTGATAAAAATTATCCATTTAAACTACGGGTATTAACATATCTGGTCTAACAAAACTGCTATTTTTATTCCATTCTGTTCCCTTTCATTTGATTAAAAATATAAACTTTATTTTTTCAATTTTAGTTTTAAAAAGCCTTAAATAATACGAGGCTGTTATATTTATATTTGTATATATCTTAATGAGGATGGGCTCTCCAAATTTCAACTTAAACACATTTTTTATTAAACCATATAAATTAACAAATATTAATGTAAATTATAAAGCTTTAAAATAGCTTTTTAAAAATGCAATCTTTTAAGCATATTAATTTACTGTACAATTTGCTCAAGAAATATTTAAGACATGGAAGCTGTATGTGGATCTTTTAACACTGAATAAATGCCTTCTCACTCTTACACCAGTTTATCTCTATTTTTTAAAAAGCAATGAAACAATATATTGGCTGAGAAGGAAAAAAAAGACCATTTTTATATCATATAATAGGTACATTTTATTCCATTATCTAAAGTTGAAATTCAAATTAGTAGTTTAATTAAATTGATTAAAATGGACAAATATTTTGAAAACAGAAGTTTTTATCCAACTTTTATCTAGTGTGTATGTAATTAACATATATAATTTATAATACTAATTATTATGAAATGGGCTGAAACTGATGGCAAGATGGAGCTGCAGATTTGTTCATACTTTAAGAGAGTGTGGTATTATGCTAATAATATTCTTGCTCTGAATAATGTTTACACTGCATTGAATAGAATTTGTGAAACATTTTAGTTTGTACAGGTGTTAGAATTAAAAAAACAGATTAAAAAATAACTAGCTAAGGTCACATCAACATTATCTCTTGCCAAAGTACAGATGTACACCAGCACATCAAGGACAACTATGGGATCTGCCACCTGCTTTTCATGGAGGTCTGCCTACTGTAACAGAAAGTAATTAGAACATTCCAAACCTGGTTTGATCTTCTTGACCACAGGTTCACTGCTGTGATCTCGCATTTGCCGGATGTCAAGTAAGTGATGAGGATTCCCATTGTGTGGTGGCCAATAATACACAAAGACCCGGGACCCACTGCTCCCACAGTCAACAACCACCCCATAACTCAGAGCTGGATCCTTTGTGTCTGTTGCCTCCAAGGCACGATAACGTGCTAAATACCTGCAAGTAGAAAAGTGATTTAGCATTGTGTGAAAATATGTAAGAGTAAATTTGCAGCACAGAAAACAAGCTGACTTTTCATAGAATATTTTTTTATGGTTCTAATCATCCCCAAAAGACAATTATTCAGGTATTGGAGCACCCTTAGCTGTAAGAGGACCACCTATCTATCTGAACAATGCAGCTAAGAAAGCCCACTTCATGACTGTGCATTTGTTAGTAAGATGTTCCTTTAGAGGTAGTGCTTAATCCCAAGAGACTACACTGGGATTTAATGGAATCATAATGAACAAACAGCAGCTCCATCTTGCTAAGGTTCCGTTTCAGCCTATTTCATTCCAACCGGACCCTATGAGCTCCCAGGCACAGGAACAAAATTGTCCTCCTTTCATGAAGAATATCCAGTGCATATTTTGGACTCTTAATGCTGATTTTCTTTCCATTGTTCTGTTAATGTAAGGGCCAATGCAACCATTTTCTCTCCCCCCCCCAAAAAAAGCAGCATTATTATAACAGGATCAATTTTACTAGTGAGAAAATACAAGCTAAATTTGGTCCAGGCAGCTCCTTTTCCACCATGCGGGGGAGAACAAATGCTAACTTCAATCAATAAGAGAATGTGGATTGGGGGGGAGGGGAGGGGCACTACAATGTCTTCTGACTTGTTTTAGATTTCAATCAGTGTTTAAAATAAAGTTAAAATCTTTCTGCTAAGATTAAAGAAAAAGCAGGTAGAAAGATTTTTTATGACACAAATTGTGATCACTTTCTTCCCTTGATAATTTGTACAAGAAATCAGTCTCTATTCTCTAAATAGAGAAATTTAGAATTTATATTGTGCATACATAATATCTTCAGAATTTGGTTACAAGCATCCAGTGTCTTCTATGTCCAATATAATAACTAATTGTTTTACTGGACAATTTGTGCTCCATTAGAGCAATATTGTTCTCTGGGGTTTTTTTCTTTCTAAAATTCCTTTTACAATGTATTTTGATGATCAACTAATTTGTACATGGAGACAATGAATCTTGATTGGCCCATCTTCTTTTCTCTCCAACAGGGTTTATACTGAGATCTAATTAGATTTTAGTCCTAAGCATACCTATTAAGAAGTAAATTGCATTGACTGCAACTGGACTTATTTCTGCATAAATATAAAAGTGCTATCCACAATGAATAGAGATCTTGTATAACAAATAAATCAATGTGATTTGGATTTTAAAACCATAAGATTTCTCTCTTAAGACATGGATTTTTTTTTCTGTTGAGAACTATATTTTCTCAGCTGTAATCTGTTGGGAATAATTTGCCAATGATAAGAAGGGATGAAGGGAATAATGGTCAAACTCCCATTCTTCTGACTACCATCCCTTTTTTTTTCTTTCTCTGTTCTGTAAGTGGCTGGAGAAGAAACTAATCATTTTTAATTGTTTTAATTTTTTTAGTGTTTTAATGGTTATTGTTTTTATTGTTTTAAAATGTTTTTGAGATTTTAATTGTAGTGTATGATTTTGAATTGTGAGCCGCCCAGAGTTGTTTGCTAAGATGGGCAGCTATAGAAACCAAATAATTTGTTTTACACATCAAAACATTTGGCTTGCAGACAACTTTTGGAAGCTGTCCCGATTGCAGCTTCCAGCCCCTCCACCCCCACCCCTGCTATTCTGGAAAGCATTCTTTGTTTTAACTTAGCAGGTCTCATTTCAACCCAATGCTCCACTTACCTACCTTTCAAACTGCCTATCCCGAGAATCAGCTTTCCAGTGCCACAGATTTTTAATTGCCACAATCAGTAGAAGAAAGACTGCAAATAACAGGAGTACCAGGGCAAAACGCTGACGGAGACAAAGGCTCACTGAAGGCACAGTGAAGTGCCAAGATGCTGGACACAGGCAGGAAAAACTGATCCTGGAAAAAGAAAAAGCAGTTTTTTCAAAGACTGTCTCAACCACTGTTGCTTATAAGTACAATGATTATAGCAATATTTCTCAAATTTGTTTAGGATGTTTAAGATGTGTGGACTTCAACTCCCAGAATTCCCCAGTGAGCTATCTGGAGTTCTGGGAGTTGAAGTCCACATGCCAAGGTTGAAAAACACTGGACTATAATATTGAAAAGCTAAGTGTAGATGTTTCTAATATCCACAAAAAATCAATTTGGCTCAAAGCTATAAGGAGGAAATCTTCCAATAGGGTTGGGAGACAACATATAATGTAACTGAGCTTGACATGAGCTTCACAGATAAATAAGAACATTAAAGTCTTAAAGAATATTAAAGTCTTAAAAACATTAAAAAACATTAAAGTGTTCTTTAATAAAGAACATTAAAGAACATTAAACACAGATAAAAACAAACATTAAAGTTGGTTCCTTTATGCCATCAACAGCTCTGAGAAGCTTCTTCACCCATTGCCCAGAAATCTCATGACACCAGTTCTTCCACATGATAGAAGCAGAAGAAAACAAAAACAGGACCACTTTCTGATATCTTTGGAGGATCATTAGCAGGGATTGGACCCTCCCCAACTGCCATCAAAGACTATGGATGCCATTCAGACTATGGCAGAAGGAAAGAAGGGATTAAAATATTTATAATTGGTACCTGAACATTCTTTTTTCATGATTGCTTTCATTGGAAGCAAGAGGACAGAAGAGGACTGTACTTATTAGAAAAAAATCAAACCTGTCAGCTGAAATATGGGATATCAATCCTTTGAATAAATGAACAAGACTTCAACGCTTCTATCTATTCCACAACCCACTGCAATTCCTCCTCTTGTATTGTACTGAGACTTACCCCTATTGCATATAACTGTAATGAGTGACTGACACCTGCCTCCCTCAGCCCATTTTTCTCCAGTGGACTGGACAGCAACTTTCAGAATTCCCACCAGCAGACAGATAATCATTTTGTCATGATATAGCTATGTAATGCTGCATTTATTTATTTATTTGTTTGTTTGTTCGATTTATATGCCGCCCTTCTCCGGAGACTCAGGGCGGCTTACAATGTGTTAAGCAATAGCCGTCATACTTTTGTATATACCTGCCTAGTAGGGCTTTTGGTCCCCCTATATATATATATATATATATAGGGGGGATATATATATACACACACACACATACACACATACAAAGTCAGCTAATTGCCCCACAATCGGGGTCCTCATTTTACCTACCTCGGAAGGATGGAAGACTGAATTAAACTTGAGCCTGGTGAGATTTGAACTCACAGTAATTGCAGGCAGCTGGCAGCTAAGTGCTAGTTAACAGCACTTTAGTCCACTTGCACCACCAAGGCTCTTTATGCATTATAAATAGCATTATAGCATATCTCTTCCCTTTTCTCCGGGAAGTCTCGACCTACCTTTCGGAACGGAACAGCAAAGGAGGAAGCTTGTCTCCCACTTTCCCCACCCACAGGAATCATACAGTCACCTTCTCCGACTGGCAGGCAAGGAGTGTGATCTTTGAACCCTCCTGGATGCCAACCAAACTGTGCTGGGCCGGTTTATAAGAGCGAGGGAGGTGGGAAAAGAAGCATATATTTCCCCTGAAACTTCGGGCATAAGATTATTTCCCCCTCTAACCTACAGCAGCCGTTTTTTCCCCCTTAAACAGGCTCAACCAACCGTTCTCATGCCGTCTGGGGAGGATGCAGACCTTGAATGGGGAGAGAAGGAAGGAAGGAAGGCATGTTAACAGACTCCGCTTTCCCGTCACCTCACCTGGCCATATGGTCTCCTCGCTGTCCAGAGTCTGTCAGCGTCCTCTAACGGTCTCCAGAAGGGAGTCGCATCTCTTGCCTTTCCGCCACAGGATCCCGGAGCTTTTACAGGAGAAAGTCGAGGAGGAGGAGGAGGAGGAGGAGGTGAGCCCACTCAGACCCCGACTCCCCTCTTCCACTACGGCCACCAAGTATCTTATCTTCGCGCCTCCGAATTGGAGGGTCCCGGTCCTCCCTCTTCGCCGGCACTCAACGGAGGGACTTACAGCCGCCGCTCTTTCCTCCGTCCAGAACCTGCCGGGGCTCACTTTCCAGCCACGTCCTCAGGACGAGGGAGCTCGGAAGAGGCGGCCAATGGGGACGAGGCTGCGGTTGACGTAGCGGGCCCAAGGCGGCCGCTTTGAGCATTTCGGCAGTCACGGCCCCGCCTCCTGACCTTCTTACCCAATCAGCTCGCAAACTTTCAGTTCCCGAGACACAATCCCGAAGCGTCGTTAAGCAACCTCAGTTTCGGGAACGTCACTGGCCAATGCAGGGGCCGGTCTCGGCTGAGGGCGGGCGTTCCAGTTTCATGAGCTGACGTCACGAGAAGGTTGCCCAATTCGGAGGCCTAAAGAAGACTCTTTCGAAAGTTCGGCTCGATCGGCTTCGCTGTCAGCCGAAATTTGAGAAGCTGGCGACCCGGTGGAATCCCCGATGAGCCCGCGCTCGGCAGCCCCCCCCCCCCCCCTGGCGAGCCACAGGGACACACGCTACCCACGGCAGCGTCATCTTTAAAGTCAAACCAACCAGCTTCTCCAAACAAACCACACGCGCCATAAAAGCGGCCATCCCTTCTTAACAGGCTGACTTCCAGCCTGACAGGCAGCGTAGCCAATGACTGTCCCCTTTTCCGACGTAGAAGCGTGTTCGGCGGAAAGGTGCCCAATGGAGTGAGGATAGAACAAAAGGTCAAAGGGGCATCGCCGAATACCTTTTTTTGATAGGTGGGGCTCAAGGCCGGCCTTTGCCAACCGACCAATGCGCGTCGGCCTAGGGCGGCGCGAACACGGACCGCGACCAATCCGCAGTGCCAGTAGGCGGGATGGACTGAGCGGGAGCCGCAGGACCGAGTGGGGTATCCCGTAACCGACTCGACGGAGGCGCCATGGAGCTGGGGGCAGGCGGCGCGGCGGGGCCCGGTCAGCGGGGCGCGGCGGCGCCGGGCCGCCTGCTCCTCTTGCTGCTGGGCGGGGATGGCGGGGGAGGGTCGGGTTGGGTGTGGCCGTGGCCCTCGGGGGGCGGCGGGGAGGGGGGGACAGGAACGGACACGGAAACCGGCCGGGAGCCGGACTACGAGGCCCTTCCCCGCGGCTCCGCCGCTTCCACCCACATGCTCGCAGGGGCTGTGGCTGGGGTGCTGGAGCACAGCCTTATGTACCCGGTGGACTGTGTCAAGGTGAGGAGAGGCGGCGAGCCGCGTCGGTGCCTCCGAGGGGCGGCTGGGCGGGCAGGGAAGAGGGACGGGTGATGCCTTCGAGGAGGGCTGGAGAAAGATCGCGCAGGGCTCCTCACGGGGGTGCTCCGTGAGGTCGGACATTGGCCGGTTGGGCGGAATCCTTCGGCTCCCTCCGAATTGCTCCAATAAGCGACAAGGAGGTTTGACAGAAGGTCAAAGGGATGCGCGTCTCGGGGTGGTTACTATGAATTAGGCCAAGAAGAAGAGGGAGCAACAAGTAATTGTGTGCCTTTTGCGGTTGGCGGCGGAAGTGGCAATGGGCAGTCTTCTGAGTCCCGAACTTGAGATGACAGTTAAGAAGCATTGCCGCCAGCGATTGAGAATTGGATCTATTCCTTCCATCTCAGGCTAGTCCCTTTTTGCCGGAAAAACGGATTGGACTCAGTCATTGCATAGGAGATCTTAGGAGGGCGGGATGGGGGGAATTGTTTGGAAGTTTATTATACTTCCAGACACCTTTCAGGGAATCATACTGTCTGCAAAAAATCTCATGTAAGTAGGGAGAGAGAGCATACATCAGAATTAAAGCAGAGACTCAAATGCTGAAGGTTTGTAAACGGGAAGTGGGTGGACCGAGTTTGGCTGGGAGAACTTATTTGAGTAAATCTCTAAACATATCTAACCTGCTCCCCCCTCCCCCCATCCCCGCACTGGCAGACAAGGATGCAAAGCCTGCAACCAGAACCTGCTGCTCGTTACCGGAATGTGCTGGAGGCTTTGTGGCGGATTGTCCGAACTGAAGGGATCTGGAGACCTATGCGTGGATTGAACATCACAGCTACAGGGGCTGGTCCTGCCCATGCCTTGTATTTCGCCTGCTACGAAAAATTGAAAAAGACACTTACCAACCTTATCCATGCTGGGGGCAATAGTCACGTGGCCAACGGTATTATCCCTTCCTGCCTCCTAGCCCCATCCTGGGGTTCTAGTTGTACCAGTTGGGGCTCAGAGTGAGAGGATGCCAGATTTATTCTTATTATTCTGGCATTAGTACTCTCTGAACCCTCAAGGTTATGGACATTCTTTCATGATGCTGTATTCTGCTTGCAGCAAAACAGTATGTTAGCAGTATGTCTCTTTGAGCAATATATGGTCTGTAGGGATTTAGGGATAAAAATGGGCAAATAAGGTTTCTGGCATGTGTTTTTGTATCTTATGTGAGAAAGTGATGTAGTAGAAGAGTGACTGATTGTTTGCATATATTTCTGTTTTTTAAAACATGCATACTGATGTGCTTAAGATGCATATGCTTGTATTTGCCTCAATGCCTCTTTCTTTTAGCAACTTAATTGAATGGGGAGAATTCCAGGCTTGCTGTTACAGGTGCTGTTCCATTCATTTAGTCAAATCTGCTTCCTAAGAATAGCTTATTTCTAAAGCTTCTACTTAATCTCTGATTGTGGTATTTTATCTCTTAAAATCTAAGACATAACTCATCACCCCCTGCATCTTGTTGACATTTTAGAAGAAAATAGTATAGATAGTCCTCAGCTTATGATTACAATTGGGACCAGAATTTCCATCTTAAGTTGTTGCAGTCATAAATCAATTCAGACCCAATTTTATGATCATTGTTATGATGGTCAGTGAATCACCATGGTTGTTGGTACATCTACAGTCATTAAGCAAACACCATGATCATAAGTGTGAACTCATTCTTTTGAATAGTTGTTTTTTGCTGCAAATTGGCAAAAAAGGTTACAAATACAGCTATCATGTTACTGTAGGATATAGGTTATAAAAGTAAGCTGGTTGCCAAATGCCTGAATTGCAATTTTGTGAACATGAAGGTGGTGCAATGATTGTAAGTGCAAGGACAGACTTTTTCAGCACTGTCGTAATTTTTAAGCCACTAAATGAATGGTCAAAAGTTGAAGACTGTTTATAAGGATGTAAATAGTAGGTTTATGCAACATTTCAGATTCAGGATCCAAAAGATGTCGCAGAGGGAGGAGAAGTATGAAATTAGCATTTGCATGCAACATTGTAAAGTAGCTATATCTTTTCCTGAGTCCTATTCCTTCCTGCCCCTGCTTTCACTCTTTCTGAAACAGTTGTAGAAGATCAAAACTGAAATGCTGCACAGCTTACTAATAGTAGAATTATCTTAGCTTTTGTCTGCTTCATATTAATTATAAAGATCTTAACTAAGATGTTTAGAAGATATTCTGTTTCCTCTTTTTTTCTAGTTGTAAACGGAATTAATTTGGAGAAACATTGTATTAGAATCTTGGTTATTGAAAGTTAATGCTTAGTTCTGCATAAGCTACTTGTCCCTTGGAAGGAATGGCTTATGTCCCTATTTTCACATGTATAATATTGTGATGGCCTAATCTGGGATGTCATTAAGACCGTCATGGGCCTCATCTCAACTTTTCTTCATATTTAACAGTCCTTGTCTTGCAGGTGCAGCAGGCTGTGTGGCAACGTTGCTTCACGATGCAGCCATGAATCCAGCGGAAGGTAATACTGTTTCTCCTGTCTGCTCCATCTTTCATGAAGATAATTATTTTTATTATCACCAGAAAATATTCTCTTGTTTGTTAGAAGAAAGGAAGACAGAGCAATTATTTCTACAAATTTTATTTGAATGATGGATTGCATTGACTGGAATATGTGTGTTTGTTTGTTCAATTTCTGTGTCCGCCCATCTTCGTCAATGAGACTGCAATTTACAATTCAGAAAATATACTATGATTAAAAATAAAACTTTTTTAAAAAATAAAAATAATAAAACCAGCAAAAAAAAGCAGATTAAAAATCCAGTTCAAGATATATAAGAGCAAGGTATTGGCCAGTTAACAGGGCCCTTGGCACGTTCAGCACTCCAGACTCAGGGGCATAGCCAGGGTTTTAGGACCTTGTAAAAGGTTAGCAGGGTTGGGGCCTGTCTGATCTCTGAAGGGAAGATGTTCCATGGAACGGGCTGCTACAGGAAAAGCTTGCCTCAACCATATGGTCTTGCCTTATTATTATTATAAACATGAAAAAGTGAATTAAAATTATATTGTAACGTGGCTTCATGTTCCCTGCTTCATGTTTGGTTTTCTGTAAGAAAACCAAAACTCATTCTAGTGGTCCTAAATATTTTCCACAATCTAGAAAGGGGGGTCTGGGTCTGCTGATTTAATGCAATTGTATAAGGCTTGATAGATTGATAATATATTCCTGTACTGAGGTTTATGTGAGGACTGTATTGAATACTGAAGCATAAGAGTCCGGGTGTGTGTGTACACTGAATGCAGGTTATACTCCTTTATTCATTAGAGTTTTTTTCTTTCTTTCCCACATTTCAATATGGTTGGATTGCTGTTATCACCCATTTCCAGTGGTTAAACAAAGAATGCAGATGTACAATTCTCCATACCAACGAGTAACAGACTGTGTGCGTGCGGTGTGGTGCAATGAAGGGGCAGGAGCTTTCTACCGAAGCTATACCACTCAGCTGACCATGAACATCCCCTTTCAGGCTATCCATTTCATGGCATATGAATCCCTACAGGAGCACCTCAACCCCCACAGACAGTACAACCCTAGTTCCCACATGGTGGCAGGTGCCTGTGCAGGTGCCATTGCAGCTGCTGCCACCACACCTTTGGACGTTTGCAAAACATTGCTGAATACACAGGAAGCCTTGGCACTGAATACCAACATCAGTGGGCACATCACAGGTATGGCTCACGCATTCAGGACGGTGTACCGCGTGGGCGGGCTAACTGCGTATTTCCGTGGGGTTCAGGCACGTGTCATTTACCAGATGCCCTCCACAGCTATTGCATGGTCTGTGTATGAGTTCTTCAAGTACATCTTAACAAAGCGAAAGGAGGAACGGTTGTCCAGGAAGTGAATTGGCGTTATCGGCTTGGCTGGTGCCAAACTCAGATGACAAGCAAGACTTTGGAATACTGATGCCGCCTCTTGCCTGCTGCTGCATTTTGCACAGCCCATTGTTCTCTCAATGGAAAGTATACAGCAAACAGCAACTTCACCTGCTTTTAGCTTATCATCTAACAAACATGCCCCAGGTGTTGGATATAAATAAAGACCAGGGTGGAATTACTGGAAATTGGGGTGATAGCCTGCATTTTCAGAAATGATTGCAGGTAAGAATTAGTAGAGGCAGAAGAAGTGTTAGCTAAGCTGTTGTCTATTAGCACTCACACAGACCTCATGCTCTTTGAGAAGGCTTTGATTGTTGTGGC